TTGTACTCACACAAGTGTCCCCGGTACGCGGGCCTGGGCCAAGCGGCGGGGACAGCCATGGACAAACCCGTGCCTCTGGCTGCTCAGAGCCCACCTTCCCCGGGGCAGAGGCGCGTGGCAGGCGTGAGGCACAGGGCAGGCCGGCGGAGGAGCCCAGGGTGGGACTCCGCGACGGGAAAGGGCTCCTCCCGTGCATGCGCGGTTCAGGGGCCTCCGTGGAAGGAAGTGATTGCAGCTCACAAACCTCCCGTGTGCCCGGCTGGCTCAGAAGGTCAAGTGCGTGACTCGATCTCAGGGTCGCGTGCTTGAGCCCCATGTTGGGCATAGAGATTATTTACGAAAATAAGTTGTCCTGATATGTCCCTTTTTTTCTTAACTTGGAAGTTTTATTTTACAGCATTAGATTTTCTGTGTGTACATTACCTGCATTTATGTAAAAAAGAACAACACGTGAGCACTTAGAATACCACAAAAGTGGCATTTTTAAAAGTCTACGCTCAAACTTAAAATTCCCTATGAAAAACTGGAAGCACGCGGACGTGGAGAATGGTGCAGTGAACTCCTGTATGTCCGCAGCTACCTGCCTCGGCCAGGGTTTCCTTCTAGATCTTTTCTCCTCCATTTATGGTTTTGTTTTTTGTTTTTAAGAAAGTCGCGGCCCTACGTCACGTCCCGCAGCCCGGGGGTGCGCGTCCGCCTGACGGCCCGAGCGAGGCGGGCGCGTGGCGCGGACGCCCCATTAGCCAGGCACCAGCTCCCAGCGTCTCCACGCGTCATTTTCTTTGTCCCTTGCCTCTTCCCGGCTGGCCTTCCACCCACGAACTCGTTCTATTATTGAGCTCATCTGCTGCGCATAGTTTCAAATTCTGCTTGGTTCTCCTATTTTCTTACCTCTTTTATCACTTTTATTAAGTTCATTTTAAAATCTTGGCCCGTCTGCTCTAAATAGAACACATTCCTGTGGGATTCTAAGATCCACCATTCCCATTTTCCTACTCGTGCTCTCCAAATGTCTCATTCCCCCGAGGGGGGCTACCTGCCCCGACGGTGTGTGGGGAAGTCGGGGCCTCAGCGTGGACCCGGGGTGCGAGGGGCGGGAAGGGGTGGGGAGGGCCAGGGCAGGGGGCGCAGACTCAGCCACCCGTCGCTTTGGGTCAGGTGTCACTCTGGGCAGCTGTCGTTCACCAGTCCTGGGTGCTGGGGTCGGGCAGGGCGGGGAGGCACGGGGCACTCACTCGCCCAGGGCCTTTGCACGGTCTTGATTCTGCTCTGGGGGACACCTGGGCCTAGTGGTGCGATGGTGAAGGCTTTGCTGACCCAGGGCAGCCGCTGCTCGAGTGTGGTTCGGACAGGAGCGCTGGTGGGGGTCTCGCTCACGAGTCGGGCGCGTCAGCCTCCCTCGGGCGGTGAGCGGCTGCTTAGCTCAGGTGTGTGCTGGTTTTGGATGCTGCAGGTCAGTGCTCTGTGCCTTCGCAAGGGAGCGGGAGTGTTTCTAGCGTGATGCGCGTTTTCTGCACCACTCTCAGGTCCACAGCCGTCGCGGCTCCCCGGCCCGCGTCGTGGCGTCTCCCACGGGGTGGCTCCGGGACCGCAGCGCGAGGGCGCCGACGGCAGCGCGGACAGCAGGGCCCTGCGCAGCCGACGAGCTTCGAGCTCCCGTGATCTCCCCTTGCGACACGACGGCATCGTGCGTGAGGCTCAGCACTGGCTCCCTAAATTCCCGGCCTTCCGGAACCCCAGCGTGCCAGGCTCGCCGGGGTTGTCCCCTCCTCCTTTGTTAAATAGCGTATTCACTTGGACCATTTAAAATTTAGTTACGTAATTGGATAATAGTAACAGTTATGAAATAACTGCTGGTCTCTCCAGCGAGGCCCACCCGGCGCCGGCCACCCCCGGCCTCACACTTTCACTTCTCGTCGGGGCGTCGGGCGGGTCACTTTCTAGTCCTTCCCCAGGAGGAGCTCCTTGAGGGAGGGGTCCCGGCTGTGCCCACGGATCTGTCCCCAGCTCTCGTCGCGCCGCGATGTCTCCGCCTCATCACCAGCGTCCAGCGAGCGAGAGCCCGGAGCCGCTCGGCGTCCGCGGGCGGCACCCCTGGGCTCCTCCGTGGGTGGACCTGGAAGGGCGTGCTGCCCCCGTCCTTTCTCAGAGGACTGTCTTTTCACGTCACGCACCTTCATTCTAATGTTGCTTTTATGGTGGGAAAAGAACAGAATCAAAATTGATGCAGAAGAGAGCAAATTATTCACAACAGTGCTTCTTATTTGCATGGGGATTTTGACTTTCAAAAACATTTTCCTCTTTATTTTTCACGTAACTGTAGGAACATCAGACAAAGGGGTAAGCTTAAAAAGGCAAAATTAAATTAAAATCGCCCCAAATCCCCACTCACATGGACCAGACTCGGCCCCTTCCAGGCGGTTCCACTGCGCTGTACACGACGTGGCCGCGTTTCTTCACAACCGTGAGATGCATAAACACGGCTCCCTGCAGCCCGCTTCCCACTGGGCTTATTATGAACGGCTCTCAGAAATGTTAGCGCCGCAGGACGAAGTCCCGCCCTCTGACTTAGCGGTCGCACCGCTTCCCTGCACCGGAGGCCCCAGCCCGCCCGCCAGTGGCCTGCTTCTCCCACGTCTTCCTGTCCATGTCGCCCTCACACAGCCCGACAGGTCACGGGGGCCACGTTGTCGTCCCCTTACAGGCGGGGGCGTGAGCGGGGGCAGCTGCGTGACTGTCCTCTACACACCTTCCGTGTGCGGTGGCCGGCGCGCCCTCAGGAGGACCGTGGGGGGCCCTCGGGTCCAGGGCCTCGGAGGAGCTGTCCGGAGTTGGGTATAAACATGCCGAGCACCGGGTCGGCGCCCGGGGACAAGACCAGTGGCTGGGGACCCCCCGAAATTATGCCCATCAGGGCTGAGCCCAGCCGTGTGGGCGGCCACGGAGGGCGGGAAGGAGAGAACACGCAGCCATGCTGCAATGGTAGAACAAGGTCTTTTATTGAGAACATGTCAAATCCTTTGTGTAGAGGACTGCGTCTCATGCTTGGTTCCGGCTGGTCTTGCTGCGGGAGGGGAGCTCATGCAGGTGGTAACATGTGGCATATACATCAATATACAGACAGAGCACACGGGGGAGTGGGTCTTAGCGAAAGGGTTCTTGGCTGAACTACATTCATATCAAGTGTCCAAATTCTAAAGTAAAATAAAATAAAAGCATATAACCCGATCTCAGGAGAAGCAAACTTCTTCCGGGCTCACTCCATGAACATTCCACAGACTGACTTTAACCATTCGTGGTCGCGTCCAGAAGGACAGGTGTCGGCTCCCGATGTGCCACCAGCCCACGGCGTGGCCAAGTAAGTGCTCCTGGGGCTGGGGGCTCGCCCCTGCAAACAGCGAACGGGTGTACACGGTGGCGCCAGAGGTCGGCAAAGTGTCAGGACCAAGCCAGACGCCCCCTCCCGGCCCCGAGGCACGCGGCTGGCTGGGAGCACGGAGAGGGTCACGGGACAGGCCAGGGGACAAGGACACACAACACTGGACACACGTGGTCACAGATACTCTGCCCTTTCCACTTCTATCGTTCGGGGTTGATAAAAAGGAGTCTTGTGAGAGAGTCTCTGACTTCACACAGATGGGAAAGCCAGCTGATTTTATTTCCGCTGCGGGATCAAATTCATGGCTGGGACAGACCTCATTTCTTGGTGTGAAATATTTTAGAAATAAAGAAGATGCATCTGATTTTTGGTTTGGGGGAAAGGGGCGTGGTGTGTGGCCCCGCCCCCAGCATGCACTAACTTCCCCCTCGGGTGGCCCACCCTGAGGAGCCAGAGAGCCGGCCCCAACGCGGTGTCACTATGTGGGATGACAAGAAACCTGCATACAGAGAACGCAGTGAGTCTAGAGTGCGGGCGCCAAGGACACCATTCGAATAAAAATACATTCCAGAGAAATCAATGCCTGGTGAGATGCCAGTTTGCACATTTTAAGGTATAATCACTGTTTTTTGATTAAATAAATCAATAAAACTCTCCAAAACATAACAACATGATGAAAAGTGCAATTCAGACTCAGGATCAGAACCGGAGCTCCGCGGCGTGCCTGGCCTGGGCAGGGCAGCGGCGACAGCCCCTGGCCCCACTCCACCCCCTGCAGGAAGGGCCTTCCGCTAGCGGGACGGCTGTCCGCGGGCCTGGGGACCATATGGGGGTCCCTGTCTTCATAGAATACTTCAGCTTTAGCAAACAAAACAGAACCCTCCCAACCCCCACTGGTCAAACTGTCTTCAAAACTGATGATTTTTCTCAAACAATCAGGTTCTTGGTGGTATTAAACTTCCCAAGTCTCTGAAATCCAGAGTTAGGGCACTGTGCGCGATGGAACACCCCCGGGAAACAGTCACGGGGCAGGATGCACACGGAGCCTCAAAAGGGACAATTTGTTTAAAGTGCAGTTTCCTGACCCCCCTCCTGGAGGAGGTGACACTCGCTCCCCTCGTTCTGGCTCCAGGGGAGCCGATCCAGCCAGCTGCCCTGTCCCCGGGCCACGGCTCCCCCCTGACACTGGGCACTGTCCTCCATGGCCGGCGAGGCCCAGACACTCCGGGGAGAGTCCCGGGGGCCACGCGGCCAGGGTCCTTGGGACCAGCACGCAGGAGGGCCGTCTGTCACCTGGGGCGGGGAGGGAGCGATGCTCACCTCAACCTTTACCTGCCAGGGGGAAGAAGCCAGACGTGCTGGGTAGTGTTTGCATGTATATGCGATATATTTCCACTGGACTTTTAATCAAAATCCAGGTATTCTGTAAAAACTAAGTCCATCTCCCAAACCCCAATAGAAAAAATACCATTTATAGAGAATAAAAACACAGGGGCTCACGGATGCCGTCCGGGGGGGGAGCGCCTGCTCGGGGAGGGCGGCGACGGCCCTCAGCGCTGCTGCTGCAGGCGGAGGAAGACACAGCCCCCTCAGCCCCCCAGCCCTGCCGTGGCCCCAGCACCCTGGCTGGTGTGGGCGGGGCTCGCTCCTCTGCCTGGTCAGTCCCTGCTCTGGACCCACCGGTGCCACCGGCCCCCCAGGGACCCACAGAGACGCCAGGAGGCTCTGTGCTTCTGGTCTGAACCTCCTGCTCTGAGCATGTGGGGTCTGGGCCAAGGGGCTGCTCTGCCCCTGTTCTAGGTCTTCTGAGTCCACAAAGATGGGGTGGCGCCTCCCGTCTCTGCCTACGGCACCCGCGAGACCCCCCACTTCCTGACCCAGCACCTCCTCGGGTTCCTGTCTGATCCTGAGTGGAAGAAACAAGGCAATTGGTGCAAATCTCTGAGCTCAGGTCGAGGCGCCACCCAGGACCCCTGCCCGCGCTCCTGACCGTCTGCTGGCTCGGCCCGGGGCCACCCTGGGCGCTGTGGGGTGTGGGGCAGCGTCCCCGGGTCACCCTGACGCCAGCAGCACCCCTTCCCTGCCGTGACAATCAACGTGCAGACCCTGGTGGGGACGGCGTCCGCGGCCGTTTGAATACTGACTTCAAACACGTCTTTGATAAAGCTTGATTTAAAAACATGCCTTAGGTGGCATTTTCTAAGAATGAGTACATCTACCTAATTAACTCTACTTCCGTTCTGGGGGGATGTCTGGAGAGTCAGCCACACCCGTTAGATTCAGAGGAAGGAAGGAAACTGCAGCAGCTCTGTGGGCTCCTCCTGGCCGCCAAGCGTTGAATACTGTAGAAACCCCTCAAACGAATGGCCACGATTCCTGCCCATGTTTTACCTTTGACCAGTCAGAAGTGAACTAACCCAAGTTTTCCGTGATGCAATCCTAGGAGGGCACAGAAGCTTCCAGGGGGCTAGCGGCTACAGGGACCAGGCCATGCCCATGCGGACGCACTCCGTCCCCACACCAGGGGCCGCGTGTGTGCGCTGGGCTGGGCCCGTCGTGGGGGTCTTCTCCCGGGCAGGCTGGGGGAGCCACTGAAGGTCGCGTGGGCGGGCAGGGGACCCGCCGGTAACACGGCCGTGACACGCTCTTCAGGCCACGCCTCTACCTCTCTCCCTACGCTCTCCCCTTCTTCACACATAAGATAATGTGGCGTAAGAGTGACCTGATATAATTACTTATTTTATAAACCACGTTCCTAACTCTGAATAAATTATTTATTCAAAAATTTCACACAAATTTCTACTTTCCTAAACTTAAGGAAGCCCTACTCAGTAGAACTCAATTTCTAAACGTAAACGGAGATTGAAAGCAGTCACTGGGTAATCAAAGGGGTACCGCCGCCGCAGAAGGTGCCAGGTGGGGACGCCGGGCCCCAACCCCCCGCCCCGACGTGCACGCCTGCCCCGGTCCACACGGGACGTCCCAGAGCCAGCGCCGGCCGCCCGGCGCCCCGCGCCCCCGCGCCCCAGGTCAGGGAGTGAGAGAGAACTGATCCTGCTCTGTGGGCTTCTCTACCCAGGCGCCCAGCCCCGCCTTGACGAACGCTCTGAGCAGACACGCCTTGGCGGCCTGGTACTCCTTCGCCACCAGCTTGGACTCGTGGTACGTGCTGGGCTTAGTGATCCTGGAGCGAAGCAGGTTGGGGGGAACCTGTGGGAAGGGAAACACAAGCAGAGCAGGGCAGTTTGAGCAGGAGCAGTGAAAACTGACTTCTCGAGACATTCAAAATCCCACACGTTTCGTCCCACGTGGGCCCCTGGGGGGCCGCCCCCAGGCGGGGGGTGCCTCCTCCGAGGGGCCGTCTCACAGGGCGCGCGGGCCCGCGACTGCGCTCCCCCCGCGGGGCAGGCGCTCGGTCAGGCAGGCAGCTTCGGAGCCCGGGCTCGTAGAGGGGCTCCTGAACCCGCACGCACGATTCCAGTGTGACATTTAATCTTACGGCTCTGTAAGAACACAACTCTGACGTCGCGTGTGTCGTGTTCACACCGCAGGACTGCCCCCGGGGCTGGCTGACTCATGTCTGTGCAGAGCCTGGGAATACACAGGGCGCAGGCCCGCCAGCTGCCGCGGGAGCGGGGCCAGGGCGCCAGCCGGCTTCCACCCCAGCCGCCGGCTTCGGAACACACACCCGCCTCGCTCCCGACTGATGAGGGAAAACCAGTAAGCCACCGACGGATCAGAGGCTCATCCGGGGAAAAGGAGCCCGACGCTGCCGCAGGAACGGGCGTGAGGCCCCCGAGGCCCCCCGAGCCCCGGGCCTTCCTCCTGTGGGGGCATCGCCTGGCGGCGCAGGCGAGTAAGAGGTCCCCACCGGGAAGCCAGCGGGGAGGGAAGAGCTGCCTGAGGCTGCTTTACACGTGAGGCCCCGGGGCCACGATTCAAGGTGAGGACCGGGCCGGGTTTACACGTGAGGCCCCGGGGCCACGATTCAAGGCGAGGACAGTCAGAAGACACAAAGAGGTCTGGGAAGGGCCTGGTGGGCAGTGGCGTGGGGCTTTGGTGGGACAGGCTGCGGGGAGGCGGGGCCGGTACCTTGCCGTGCACACGCATCCAGCGACAGTACAAGGCGTGCTTACACAGGCGGGACGCACGGCCCAGCTCGTCCTTCCCCGTCGTGGCGTTGATGACCTCGATGCCCGAGTCACCCACCGTCCAGTTGACGCTGAAGTTGGGCGCCTTCCCTGGCTGCCGCGCTTCCGCGTTGCTGATGCCTGGAACAGAGAGACACGGCCAGTTGACGCGGGGCCAGAGGACGCGGCTCATGGGCACATGGGCCCGGTGTGCTCACGTCACCCAGGGCCACCCCGTGCTGCCCAGAACCGCGCTCGGCTGTGCCCGGGGGGGGGGGGGGG